TGCGTGCCTCGTTGGTATTGCTGTTTGCTGCTGTCTTCCTTGCATAATTGCAATTTTATATGCACTAGCAGACCGGGTAATTCACTAGGATGAATGATCTTTTTTGTCTACATTTATATTTATAATAGTTATTCAGTATGACTTCTAACTCTTAAGATTTTAACACACTGCTCTTATGTTACATGTTTTTAAGAACTTGTACTTAAACAAGGGCTAAGCACAAGTTAACAGTTCTTTTTCTTTACTTGGGTTCATGTTATTGACATAATTAAGTGCGATAATCAAGCTAGGATGAACAACAGTTTAAAGTGAATCTTTTTTAAGTTATACACATCCTCCATAATCAATAAAGGTTGAGGAATGTACAATTCTATTTGGTCCGTTATTTTGTTCCTATCATTTGTTTGTTTCTCAGGCAACTGGTCTTTGCATCAAATATACTGGCCTTTTCTGCTCCCTGATTGCAATGATGCCCTGAAGTTACATAACTTTGATTCTAAAAACAGGAAGGTGCCACAGAAGAAGAGATTGATCGATTGCCAAAGTACAAATTCCGCAGGGTGGGTGAATTTGAGAAAATTAATGGTGAGGTTCAAGAATCTTACAGCGGAATAATGACAGAATCTGGTGCTGAAATGCCCATGGAACGTGTTCTCTCCCATGAGGATGCCGTAAGTATCACAATGCAGTTATATTTAGTTTAGTATCGCAATGAAGTTATATGTAGTTTCGTGAGATTAAAGTTATTTGAACCACATAAACTCCATAAACTGTTTCACAAGTGTTAAAAAATTAGGACTTAAACTAAGCAGTACGTGTGTCTCAGCTCGAACACAATTGTTTTAAAGGAAGATCTAAGGTCTGTTTGGGAGATAAGGAAGAATAGAATGGGAAATTAGGAGTTGAATTATTCGGCTTGTTGGAAAACCATTCCTTAATGGAACAGTGTGAACCATAATGTCCATGTGTATGAGGGAAGATTTAGGTTCATTTGGGAGAACCGAAAGAATGGAATGGAAATATTAAGGAGGTGAAATTTCTTTATTTGTTTGGAGAAAATTCATTGATGAAGTGGAAAGAGGAATATCCTGATCCATAAGTGGCTAATGCTTAAAGGAAGCTTCAGGATCTACTAGTTACAGTGGAAAGGATTGAATTAGGGATGGAGAATTGTATAGTTAAGAATAATCATAACTCAAGTGTGCTTAAGGTTTATCTGAAAGTGGAAACGAATGGCATCGAAAATTAAAAAGTGGAAAATCTTTTACCTTGTCTGGAATCTGGAGATCATTTATTAATAGAATGGAAAGGTGAATAGGGTGAATATAATTTACCCTCGTTACCTTCCAAGTGCTTAAAAGAATTCACCTCTGGTAACTTTTTTAAAAAAATTACATCTACTTGTTTGACTAATTTGTCATATTTCTTTTAAAGAAAAAAGTAAACCTCTATCCCTTTTTGTTCATCATTGCCTCTGCCCATCTCCCTTAGGGAATGATTGATTTTCCACATTATGTTTAGATAGAACTAGAATCTTTATGAAACTCGTTTAGAGAAACACTTCTATTAAAATGAATGAAAAAATAGTGTCATGTGAAACTGGATATAAATTCTAAATTTCATGACTAATGTAAATTTACAAATAAATTTCACAAAGTTTCTAAATTTAT